CGACGCCATGAATGAAACAAGCAATGCTTAGTGGGTTAAAACGGCAATTTCTGAGAAAATCATTTTCACCCTTTTTTGGCATTCAGAAGGCCGCTTAGCGGAAATGGACCATAGTTCTATACTCAGTGCTCATGCCCCTATACCAAGCAAAAAACCATTTTCAAAAGGCGTCCCACACCCTGAAAGACCTTCCCTTTGAGACATGTTCAGAACCTGGTCATAAAATACCACAGAACAGCCAGAACAACCACTTATTATCGTTCAAAGATTTAATTCAACTGCACAAACCCATAGTGTTTCTGCGCCTTGAATAGATGTTCCATAGCACCAGCAAGATTAGCATGAATAGCTTGGAGGTCAGCAAGACATTGTTTCCGCTGAGCACGGTGGACTGCGGCTCTCGTTATTACATAAGGAACTACCTCTTTCCGGATTCGCTCGCCAACAACCTTAAAATAACTATGGCCGTGAACACCAATCAATATTCGGAATCCAGCTCAGATCAGGAAAAATACACAAAAAATTAGTACCTTCGAAGTGACAAGTACTGATATTAGCTATCAAATAAGCACGGTACAGCACACGAATTTATAGAAAGATGGACTGTTAGGCGAAAGTGCTTTCTCGGAACTAATTCGCACCACACGCTCTAGGGAAGTATCTAAGATAGAAATTATACCTAGTTTAAAAATAACAGTGTTATCGCGCTTCTGAATGTTGACCGCAGCTAGTGAGTACATATATATGCATTCGTAGTTACAGTGTAAATGAGGATCCTACTTATATAACCCGCTATGTAAGTCTGTTGATGTTTATGTTTGTGTGTTTTTGCCTGACCGGAAATTCTTAACTCCTGTCCCATTAGTCCATTCAAATCCGGTAGGATTACAGGGGGCAGAATTGGAACACTCGGGGTAGAGTGGTACCAGTTTTCGCCTAAACGGCGGCGATTGCGCGAAAGTTATATCAGAAGTGCATGACTCCTGTTCCCATTGACCTAGAGTGTTCAATTTTGGTACGAGCTCAGGTAGCAGGATTTGAATACTTATGGCAGGACTGGATGGTGTTCACAAGAGGCGGGACGTGAGCGGAATAAGTGTTTGAGCAAAAATCCATACTCCTGTTTCCATGGACCTAAAACGTTCAAATTTTGCGAGAGTAAGACTATATTGCGGGAACACTTATGAGAGATGGTAGGACTAGAATCTTTTCACAGGGGCGCAAATGATCATTTGGACCTGGGACATTCAAATTCAGTACCGGTGGAGGCGGTAGGATAGGAAAGGATGGGAATGCTGATGGGCGGTGCCACAACCTGGCTCCGCCTTTAAGGGCCTCCTTTCTTCAAAAAGTAGGCGAGATTTTGACATTTCTCTTTTCGAACAATTGATCCAACATTACTGATTGAGAAGTGCAGAGGTCATACCGCAGCTTATTTTCGTTGTTACGGACACTTATTCTGAAGCTAGGACCGATGTGGTGCAGTAACAAAAAGCCAGTATCTCACACGCACGGTTACAGGTTCGAATTCAAGGGACATCCGCCGAGGTCAGTTAAGCCATCCATCCCTCCGGGGTCGATTAAATGACTTCAGGCCCGTCTGCGAACATAAAAGCACCGAATTGTGCATTGGATGGCCACCACAAGTCATTATATAGACCAAATTCGCATTCAACACGTCACTATGATTCTGAGGAAGCGAATGCGGGCGCATCCCTCAGACGGGAATGATCAACGTCCAAAGACATCATCCTTTATCCTTCTCATCTACAACTATGAATCTATCATCTTATTCCTGTTTTGAGTCTGCTTTTATGAAGCTGTTTGAGATTTTCTCCTGAGAGGGACGAGGGGCGTAGCGAGCCCAGTGATACTTGGCTTCTGTAGCACTTTCCAGCACAGATGTTACTAATCCCCATATCTAGCCGTTTACGATTCTTTTGCACATTTTATAAGCTACCAAAGGGCTATGGGCAGTTTGCAGTAAATTTCAGTACCGTTTTTAGACTGTGTTGGTGCAAGATAGAACATCTGTGACCAGGAAAGCAGAATTCGCAAAATATAAGATTCATCGGATATAGTCAATTCTCAGGGCTGCAACGTCGAAAGTAGTGCTTTGAAGTACCGCTGAAGAGCTTTTAGGGAACAGTCAACCAGATTCACACGGAGTCAGCATCAGGGATTTCAAAACAATGGACAAAGATGCCAGAACACATCACCTAAACCATCTAGATTGGTTAACCGTTTTTGCGAACTATGTCGATACTGACGACATTTAAGGCAGATTTTGCCATATAATTCTTAGCTTAATTGACATATTTGTTCCGGTGAAGTGTTTTCGAAGACAATCGAACAGCTACCCTCGACACATTACACCACTATCCTCAGCTGATCCCAACATGGTGTTATCGAGCTATTAGGGAATAGTCAACCAGAGTCGCACGGTGTCATCATCAGGGATTTCAGTAAAATTGACAGATGCCAGAACACATCACCTAAACCATCTAGATTGGTTAATCGTTTTTGCGAACTATGTCGATACTGACGACATTTAAGGCAGAGTTTGCCACGTAATTCTTAGCTTAATTGACATATTTGTTCCGGTGAAGTGTTTTCGAAGACAATCGAACAGCTACCCTCGACACATTACACCACTATCCTCAGCTGATCCCAACATGGTGTTATTCGAGCTATTAGGAAATAGTCAACCAGAGTCACATGGTGTCATCATCAGGTATTCTCACCATATATAAACCACAGGTTTGGTGTGTCTGTTTGTCTGTTTGTCGTCGCAAGTTTCAGTATCATCTGGAGAAGCAACTGTAGAGATCGGGTCAAGTCTGGAATGGGTGGAGTCGAGGGCAAGGCTAACAGAGAACATATGAGCCCAGCGGAGCCCGCCTGCAGGGGACGAGACATGTACCGGAATGGGTGGTGCTCGAAGCGAATCGCTGATTTCGGCTTGAGGAAAGCCCAGACACTAGGAAAAAATGAGCAAAGGTTAGGAATGGGTCAACGATCATACGAAATGAACCAACCTGTTGTGGGCGGGGCGTCCTCGAAGTGGGTGGCACTTTCTACATGGATTCATAACTCAGTTGAACGAAGGTGTAGAGGCCAGGGAAGAATATAGTGTGAATGATCTAGAGCTTATACGTGCTGAGCACGCATGACATTAGCGGAGCTCCGCCCACTAGGGTGGCGCCTGCACTCAAATAAAACGCACTTTTTGAAACTATGTATATCTTTGTTAAAAAAAACATTCTAGAACGCGGAAAAAAAAGGTGGACAGAGGCTATCGAGAAATGTGGTCAAATATCCAAAGTGGGCGGAATTTGCCCTGAGGTGGGCGGACTAATATCAGAAGATCACAACGCTTTTCGAAAGTCTGCTTACAGTGCGGAGAAAATGTCGTTGGAGGTTATAGAGGAAATGTGGTTAAATATGTAAATTGGGTGGGTTTTGCTCTGAGATGGGCGGGGATAAGATTGAAGGTTCATAACTATGTTTGAAAACGCTTAACAGTGCGGAAAAAAAGTTGCTGGAGATTATAGAAGAAATATGGTAAAATAAGTAAAGTGGGCGGTCTTGGCTCTGAGGTGGGTGGGTTTTGCTCTGAGATGGCCGGGGCTAAGATCGAAAGTTCATAATTCTGTTTAAAAACGCTTTGCAGTGCGGGGAAAAGTGTTTGGATGTTATAGAAGAAATATGTTCGAGCACCAAGATTGGGTAAGATTTACACTGAGGTGAGCGGCGCTATGATCAAAAATTCATTAATCTATTGAGAAAGTTTCTGGAACGCGCGAAAAAGGTAGCAAGAGCTTATAGAAAGAATTTTGTCGAATCCTGTAAAAGGATTGGATTGCACGGGGATGGGCGGGGCTAAGACCTAACATTTAAAGTGGGCGGGGTTTGCACCACGGTGAAAGGGACTAAAGTCGGTAATTCAATCTCACTTCTTAATTGTTCTAGAACACGTTAACCCATTGCGTACCGTGGGGTTTTCGCGCTGGCTGGCGCGTGTGCCCGGCGCCTATTTCGTAATCGAAGCGGCGTGACTCACGGTGTGCAGCACGCGGCTACACAGAGCAGTTTTTTGCAGCGAAACGCAAAGTATGTTCCGTTCGAACTTAATTTTGGATTTTAGAGTAATTTGTCACTCAAAACTCCCTTTAAAACAAAAATTACTTTAGTAGACAGCAATGGATGAGTTGAACAAATCATTTGACGATCTGCTCATTGAAAGTGGTGACGAATTCGATGAAGGAGAGGATGTATTGGAGTCAAGTGAGGAGTCGGACTGGAATTCCAGTGATGAGCAGTCGGATTCGAGCGATGATGGAAGTCAATGGTCTTTAACCATTCGAAGGCGAGATCAGTTCCGTTTTCAAGGGTTTGAAGGGGTACTGGATAGAGACGTACTGAAATATCAGCATCCCATCCAGTTTTACCGGAGATTTATCACAGACGAAATGATCGAGCTGATCATAAGAGAAACGAAAAGATACGGACTCTCTAAGTATCCTGATTGGACGGATATTGATGAAGAAGAACTACTGAAGTTTCTGGCAATCTGTTTTCAAATGGGATTGGAGATCAGATCGAATTTGAAGGATTACTGGTCCACGAGGAAGGTATTTAGTGAATCATTCGCGGCAAAGCTTATTTCTAGAAACCGATTTGTCCAAATACTGGACGCCTTCCATTTCGCCGACAATGACGCTTCTGACAAATCTAACAGACTCTACAAGATCCAACCAATTCTGGACATGCACAACGAAGAATTTGCTGCTGTTTATAGCCCGGGCAAGAATGTATGCATTGATGAGAGCATGATTCCATTCCGAGGTCGAGTCATATTCCGGCAGTATATTCGAGGAAAACGCCACAAATTCGGGATCATGGTTTATAAATTGTGTTGTGCTGGTGGTTATACTTGCAAGTTCATCGTCTACGCTGGACAACAACGCGATACAACTTGCCCATCTTCACAACAAGCGGTTCTGGATTTGGTTGCGCCATACTTGAACGAAGGCAGGACCGTCACAGCAGACAATTTTTACACCTCTATTGCGCTTGCTGAATTACTGGCAGAGCAAAAGACTAATTACGTCGGAACTCTAAGGGAAAACCGGCTCGGAATACCTACAGATATCAAGAACGCGCGGCTCAAGAGGGGAGAGGTTGTGGCTAGACAAAATAACAAAGGCGTAACTGTACTAAAATGGAAGGACAAGAGGGAAATGTACATGTTATCGACTTGCCACGATGCTTCCAAAAGTCAATCCAATAAACCAGTTATGGTAGAAGACTATAATTTGGCAAAGGGATCCGTTGACCTATCAGACCAAATGTGTTCGTACACACCTTTTGTTAGGAAAACGACGAAGTGGTACTTACGCCCTTTCTTCCACCTGGTCACTCAAACAAGCCTTGCCAACGCCTGGCATGTATATTGCGTAGTGAAGGAAAGAATTTCGAACAAAGAGTTCAAGTGTCGCATCACTGAGTCCATTCTGGAAGGATGGAGACCTACAGAACCCACAACGTCAAAACCCAAACTTTGCGAAGTTAGTGGACCAAAAAGGACATCTAGGAGATGCGTAAATTGCTACAAGTACGCTTCCCGAATTCGTGGTGCTCCGTATGCTAGAAGTCACGCTGTGTTAGTGAACACAAAGTGCTCAAAATGTGGTCAATTTTTTGCCTTAGTTGTTTTCAGACATCTCACAAGAAATGCTCTGTTTGATTTATGTAAATATTTACTTATATTATAGTACTTAGTACGTAATATGTCGTAATATGTTAAATGTGGAGGTAAAGAAGATTGCAATTGAGGTACTGTACAAAGAAGAATGGATAGTCCATGAATTACTTCAGATCTTGCAGTCCCACGTATATATTTTACTCTCTAGGGTCGAATATGTATACACACTTTTTTGGAGCACAACAAAAGGTGAAACATAGATAAAAGGGCCAAAACAGTAGCGTGCTGCACAATGTGAAGCACGCGGGCACGCAGAGACATAAGGGCGTGCTGCACCATGTGAAGCACGCGGTACGCAATGGGTTAAGAGTGGTAGAGTTCATAGAAAAAGTCCGAACGGGTTTCAACGGCTATTCTTACAATACGTAATCCACAAGTTTGTTGTGTCTGTCCGTATGTATGCGTGTATGTATGTATGTATGTATGTATGT